ATGCCACTTAATGCATTCATTCAACATTTCTTTCATCAGTTTCTCTATAAAAATGAAGCAACTTCCTGGGGTTCATTTTCCATATTCTACAACAAATCAGCTAAGGAAAAACTTCAGACATGTCTGAACTAACCACTGCCCCGAGACACACCCATGGACTCCCCTCTTTTGTCAAGCCATGTCATTTAGCTTGCAAAGGTCTGGGGCTTATGGGAAACGGTTTTTATTGAAGGCCAAACTACTAAATAAATAAATAACTACAGTCATTCTCTAAAAACATGGAATGAGCAACATGAGGTTCAGTTCCAAGGCTGATTTTTTTGTTATTAGTGTAGTTTCAAATGTCAGTGGGATTTTGAGTGAAGTTTCACTTTGTCTCTTTATAAGAGAATCAAAAATCTCCACTGTCTAAACATATTTGTGCTTTTTTAAACGAAGATTTGCAGTTTCACTGTTGTACATTTATGACATAACAGTTTACAATATGTCAAATGTATACTGGCAACTTTACTTACTTGTGTGTGTGGTGGAATCAACCTTGCTTATGTCAGATTTCCTTGAGTCGGCACTTCCACTGAACGCGTGTTAATTAGTGAATGACAAGTTGTGTGCGCTCTTGATACCGCATGTGTTACACTGACCTCGGGCACATTCAGACTAACATACACGGTGTACAGCAACTACACGTGGCACATGTAAGCTTGAGTCTCTAAGTTGACGCTGAACTTTTTGTGTATCTACAAGCAAAACATACATGTTGTTCTGCACGCTTGTCTTTGTGAAAACATGGCACTGAATTAATATTTTCATTGATGTTTCTGCAAAAGACAAAGTCCATACGGTGATGATTAAGCAAGGAAATGCATTCTGCCTCCAGGACCTTGGAGCTTGGTGTGGTTGTTTACAATTGTTTGTTGACAGCCCAGTTTCCTATCCCCTGCACCTCCTGTTGTCCGGAGCACATATGCTTGGCTCGCCTCTCTGCTCGCCTGCACTCGGCTGAGAGATGGAGGCTTACGTGGCTCAGCAGAAGCTTCTGACCCGTGTGGAGCTACTGTCCATCTCTGCAAAAGGGTCACCTACTTCTAAATCGTTTTACTGATGCAGAGTCTATTTCATCATAGATCAGCAAATAACAACGTGATTCACTTACTCAGATGCATTCTGAGTACTGAGGTTAATATAGGAGGACATCTTTGGTTTCGCCTCTGCCCTGACCCTGCCCCACTGAGAATTTCACCCTCAGGAAACACGATCCACTTTCCAAAGCCTGCATCAATGGAGAAACACAGAATTAGTTGAACTTGTGCTTTTCACATTCCTCATTCCCTTACTAATCCAGACATCTCTTCTGGTTTCCATTTGCTTTAAGCTAATAGTGCTCATGACCTGATAAGGGAGTGGTTGGTGAAGCACAAACATCCGTCTCTGAGTACATCCATCATTGTCCATATGTGTTTGAGTGGAGCAATAATATCCGCTCCTGGAAAAGTTTGACTCAAAGGCCTGAAACTGTTGGGCTGCAGAAGCATTTTGACTAGGTAGTCCTTCATGTGTCCCTGTACTCAGTAAATATACTCCATCTCAATAAATATCTTGGACAACCTGCAGCATTGCTAAGCAACTGAACTGCAAGGCAGCTGAGAAGAAACACAACACTTTGAAGACTAGTGGTTTGGCATGTGTCAGACAAGTGCTTCACATGCTGTGAATGGAACCTCCAGTCAGTTTCCACTGGTGCTTTTGCAGTTAAATGAAAAGATGAGCTTGTGTTTGTAAAGTGGATAGCACTGGCAAAAACACACGGCAGTCATGCGTGTCTTTGTTTGCTGATGATGTACAATCTAGTTTATTTGACGGCCTTTCTCCATTTGGCAGAACATCACTTAAGTCTGTGTTGACAGCACCTAAGCCAAGTGGCTGCTTTCTAGACAACTTTGTCTATGCACTAAATAAACAGCTTGCCCTGCACTAAGCTGAAATGAGATATTTTACTGTTTCACAATGAGTTTAAAGCAGTATCTCAACATTTACTCCACACAGAGTTAAACTGATGACCAGTTTTGTGAACTACATGTAATCAAACTAGTAGTTTAACTGCTTTTTCCAGTAACTTGCTGGTAGCGAAGCTACATTCATTTTTGTGTTGTGACTTAATTAAATTACATTTTTGCCATTTGTGTGTAATTAAATTACCAGGAAGTCCCAATGAGATCACGATCTCTTTTTCAAGGGCAACCTGGCCAAGATGGCAGCCATAGATACTTACAACATACAGTATTAAAATTCAACACATGCAACACAATACACAAAAATTCCATTCACAAGATAAAACAATGGACTCTCAAGAAAAACAGCTACATCTCCTCAAATTCTACAATAGATATGAATGTGTCTAACTTTAGATCTTTCTGCAAGTCGTTCCATAACCAAGGTGCATAGTAGGAAAATGCAGTTTCCCCCAAATATGTAAGAACTTGAGGTACATTAAAAGGTAACCACCTGGAAGAGGTTAACCTGTTAACCACCAGAGCTAAGACACAAAAAAGGTGCAAAGATAAAGCAGAAGTTTTCCTATTATAGATAAAAATACCAGTGTTGTTGTCTACGAAGGGTCAGTGATGTCCATGCTACTGCACTAACTCATAAAAAAATACAGTGATGAGTAAGAGACTTTGCATTTGTAATGAAATGCAAGAATACATGGTACACTGAATAAAGAGAGGAGGCTGCATTCATATATAACATAACTCTGTGGACATGTCCCCACTAACTGTTCTCATCTCTGCCAAAGTCTTCATGAGGTTCAACACCAGTGTCCCTGCCGGTGCTGCATGTGAGCATTGGGAAGGACATTTTTAGTGCCAGAAGGAGCAAGAACTTTGAGAGACTGCTCTGTAGTTTGAACTACTTTTTCTAAGTAACTTTACTTTACCAAACTACATTTGTCTCTAGAGTAGCTTTGCTGTAGTTTAAATTCTTCTAGTGTGAAGTAATTAATAGTTTGCGAAGTAGTTTCCCCAACACCACTGAAGACATGGTGAGATCACCCTGCAATCAAGAGCAGGACACTGTTGTGATTATCTGAAGAAAGTTCTATTTGAAGGATAAGTTTAACAAAGAGTCTGCAGCACAACCTGAAGGACAGCGGAGGCCAGTTATTATTTATTACGGTCAAATTGTCAGGTCTATAAATATGCCTTAGAGGCCATGAGAAAACCAGAAAGTGTTTGTGAACTCTTGCTGTTGTGTGTACCTAATTGCATCCTGTAACAGAGTAGGCACCCTCAGGGACTTCTGCACCTGGTACTCAAAACTTCACTGATGTCAATTATTCTACATCGGGGCCTGAACATAGTGTGGTAGATCTGTTAGAAATGTTGGGAATCGATCAAGTCTGCAAAGGTCACTTGCAGGTTGCAACTCAGGGCACAGGCTTTTGTCAGCGACAGCACATTTATACTGCACACTGGATGTGCTGTGGAATTTCTCGGGAAACGTGTTCCACTCTAGCTGTCTGACTAAAAGCACGGCAGGTCTGGTCTCTCTTAGAAACGGGACTTGAAAAGGACATAATGGCTGCACATTATGAATGATATAGTGAAATTTAATATACACTGTTCAGCACTGGCACAACTAAAGACCAGCTCTCAGTCACAGCTGCCACAGCAATTTTCTGTTTTGTGTTTACGCTAACTGCATTTGGCCCGTTAAGGGAGCTTTTGTCTCAGTAATTAAAAATCACACTTAGATTAAATTTAACAAAAACACCTCATTTAGTTGTGTATATTTTCTGTGCCTGCAGTGTATAACTTCAATTTGATTGAAAGTTCAAATTTCAGTGAGCACGGCTAGTACTGCTGGCAGGCGTGCTCCAGATATGACAAGCATCCACAAGGAAAGGAAAGAGGGATAAATGTTGAACTTTCAAACTCATAGTGCATCATGCTTGAAGCCTTGAGGGAGGAGAGGCGGAGAGGAATTACTTTGAACCATGGCTACGGCTCGTATGCACTCTCATAAATAAAGAGATGTGGCTGAAGAGAAAGTGAAGATTCCTCGTTTTGCAAAAACAAAAGGCAGCAAATCGCACCTTCCTAGTTGTTTGAATTTCCTTGCACAATCATCAGATGGACATCCAAATTCAAAGATTTTAAAGGCAACATGCTAACAGTTTAATTTAGGCCCAATATTTAATATTCATAAGCAGCATATAAACAATAATAAATGGTTAATAACAGGCAAAGAAGTAGCTGTACTCATATATAATGACATTTCAACTATAAGGCCCATTTATATTACAAATGACTAGATTGTCAGTCATTGTGTGCTCAGCATCCACTTACAGTGCAGAGCGAAGTAGTAGTGAGTCCTAAAACTCAGAACTGAGTTTACGTATTTGCACTTCCGGTTCCCTCACCCTCAGTCAGTGAGTTTCTTGAATTGGTTACTGGTTAAATGCGTGAAATGATGTCTATGATTACCACAAGGCCAATATATTCTCACATTTTGTTCTATAAAATTAAATACCCCTTGTGATTTTTAAGTCTTGAAGAAGGCAGTTGCTAACTGGTAGCTAAATGAGACTACAGAGGCTGTCCAGGATATCAACCGTCACCATGGCGAGACTCACCTACTCACTAGTCTGCCCTTACAGCTTCATACTTCTAAACTCGTGCATCTGTAAACTATTCTAATGGACACAGCCATGACCACTAGCTAGATCAGGTCACGCTAAGAGGAAAGTGCTATAAATCAAAGGAGCTGGAAGCCGTGGTGGTGACGTTATAGTGCACTTCCTTTATAGCCTGACCATAGCTTTTTATTTCTGGTCATTTTATTTGGGCTTCTCATCCCTGTGGCATTGTATTATATATGCTCTCAACTACATGACAAAAAAATGTATGTTTATATACTGCTTATCACTGTCACATATGGGAGTGCTGGAGGCAACAATTTCATCTACAAATGATAACAAAAAGGCCAGTTCGTTCAAATATATCTGCCTTTACTTTATTCATGTACTGTACAGTATTTCATTTCCAAAGCCTCTATCAGACTGTTTGACAATAATGGCTATCATTTACTACAAAAGTTGCATAAATAATTTACATGTGGAAATAAAAAATAAATATGCAGTTCATTCTCTATATAACAGTTCTTTTTTATGTCTGCAGAAAACAGCCCCACTCACTTCTCTTTAGCATCCCGCCATGCAGTGACACCGCTGCAGAAGACCACACAGGTATATGTACAGTCATGCTATGCACTGCAGCTTTCGGCTGACACGACAAACCACTTCCAGTTGATATTTCAAACACAGAAGTTGAAAGAGACGCAAACATTGTCAGGACAGTTTAGGTAACCAAAAAGTGGAAGCAGAATGAGCAGAAAAACAGCGGAGTGCTGACAGTATGTGGAACCAGTGGGTCTACTCTTCATGGAGTAAAGTTCAGCCTGAGGTGTTGCTGAGGAAGGAGGCTGTGTTGCCTGCAGTGACAGGGTATCACCACTTCTTCTTCCTGCAGGGTTGTAGCAGTTAAAACAAAGATAAAACCTGAATTATTGTCTTCTTCGTCTTATTTTTGCTCCTATTCTTTCCATTGAGCTATTTAGAGAATAGCAGCGGAGCAGAGTGGAGGTGCCATCAATCTTGCAGACGGTACTCTGGCCCGTTAGACAGGGATTCTGGAGTGGGTGTGTTGGATATCGCCCTGAACCCAGGTAACAACACATCAGCACACAATTTTCTTATGCCTCCTACACATGCACTTTTTGTATGTGACCCCAGCAAACAGGAAATGGCTTTTTATGACTCAAACCCTAACACAGGAATGGGTCCATTTAGTAATTAAGAGGAATCACAGGAATGCTAGTGCTGACAAAACTGCTCTCCTGACTTTGTGTATCTAGCTGTGGGAAAGGTGCTACTGTGTCTAGGTTTTTGCCGCAGCCTGGAGTGAAGCCTGCAGTAAGCTGCCGGAGCGCTGCGTAGACCGCCGCATAGGCCAGGGCCTCCCCAGACCTGTCAACATCCCACATCAGAGCCCCCAGAGCTGCCACCGTCTCCCCCACACACAGCCAGAAAGAGAAGGATTACAACCACTGTGGAGCAGAGGTACATCTCTTCAGCTTTAAACAGAGCTGTGGTGCGGTGGGGCTCTGCATCCGCTGGGTGTTTGGACAGATGGGGTTGAGGCCTCGGGAAGGACTTCTCATTATGTTTAAATAAAATTTATGTGAGTGGGAAACAGAACTGAGCCCAGGGAGGTGTGGAGCTGTTGGGATGATGAGATACTTGTTTTGTATTATCCAACGTAGTGCTACATCACCTGACAAGCCCCAGCACTGACTCCTGTTGTCAAGCAAATAAGCAAAGATCACAGATATGCTGACAAGTGGCTGAAAAATAAGGACAGATGACTTCAAATCAGCTCAGGAATTAGCTTATGAATTCGCTCTCTGTCATTTCTCATGCATCTCCTCCCCATTTGAAGGAGACAAGTTGGTTGATGTGTTGTGTAATGTGCGTGTGTAGGAATGTGCTTTAGTTTCTGTTCTTGGAGGCTGAAGATCAGCATCAGTACGAGTTGCCCATCAGTGGCCTGTTGTTCTTGTTTCGTTCTTGAGATAAACGACTGTGCTTCTTGTTGCGTTGTGTCTTTGGGACCTCCTTGGCCTCTGATTGGTTGTGGTGGGGCCTGAAGCGTTTGCACTTGCAGGAGGTGACCACACGGATTTTGTAAGTCCGAGTGTTGCCGTTAGGACACTGAAGCTGCACCCTCCGTGTCCGGGAGTGAGCTGGGATGCAGCGGTAGTCCGTGGCGCCGCTCCTCCACCACTTGCCGCGGCTGATGAAGTTTGGCATGAGGTGTGCAGGCATGCACTGGCCCGAGCACACCAGCTCCTTGACAGGCTTGGCGCTGCGGCAGGATCCGTCGCTGATGTAACGGGTGGAACGCAGCTCCCTGCAGCTCAGCTCTGAGGCACCTGGGTTGAAAAGCAGAATATCACAGTTACTCTCATGGCTTCAGCCCAAAACAAACACTTTGAAGTTCTGCACACTGGAATGGACATCGTGCAGGTTAACTGTTTCAGTGCTGCAGCTTCTTTAGTATTTGTTGATTTCTCTGATTGAGTTTATGAAGTCACCTACTGTGTAAAACAAACAATAAGCCAGGGAAAATTAGGACAAGTCCTCTTTTATAAACTCAACTTGATACAACAATTTGAGCATTTCAGTAAAAACTTTAAGCTAGTGCGACCAGGTCAGAGTGTCTCTGATTCATGGTCTGATCATTAGCTGATGACGAGGCTAGACAAAGAAATCCAGCTGGCAACAATCAGCTGATAGCAAATCCAGACCAGTCATTAAACAGCTCAATCAAATGAAGGGAGGTTTTTGTGCTGGAAGAAAAAGCTGGCACACAGCGTTGGCCCTCAGGAAATGTACGTGGTGATGGAAGAGTTAATAGCTGTCTGGTTATTTTAAGGTTGCGTTGCAACTGTACAGTTCTGAACACACTGGAGATCTGCCAGACTGTTTTGAGACAACGCACTCAGATGCAATCCTATATGTGAGCTGCAGCTTTTTTACAACCGTATGCATGAGTTATTGTTCTGTGCTTTTTACAAGCAGTGTGTAAAAAAAGGGGCAAAGAAGCTGGCGGTTAAAAAATGATACACTTGGATGGATCCGTTTTCCTCTGTGGCTTTCTTTGCAGAAAGGGCTGGACAAAGGATTGATGTGAGGTGACTTGCTTTTGTTTTCCCCATGACAACCTGATCTAGTGTTGTCCTGCAGCCCAAAAAGTCCGGTTGCCTTCTTCATCTAGTGTCAATGTGTTTTAATCCGGCCTCCTTCTGTGTTTTCCCGGGAGACTTCCTGTTCTCCTTTCTACTGTCAGCCTGAAAAAACAAAAGTATCATACACTAGATGACTGTATGGATGCATGTGCTGAGGGATGGAGCTTGGGACAGGACGGGAGAGAGTCCAGGCAGTGGTCAGAACCTCTGCTGTGACTCCACAAGGACCACGAGAAGCCGTCCCATGACGAACGCAGAGACACATGGAGAAAATAACTTTTTCTGTCTCCCTGTGTGAAACCCAACACATGCTGCTGCCTATCTAAATGAAGATGTATTTTCCATCCCTTGCTCTGGAGACTGCTTAGGAATGAAATATATGTAAAACACGGTATTGTTTAAAGTGTAGACTTGTGATTTCCCATTTGATCTCCTGAGGCCGTAATAGACAAAAATCAGCCACACTTACAGATCTCGACTTGCTACTTCTCCCTGTGAGGTGTTCTTCTTCTAATGAAATCAATCATCTTCTTCTCCGATCTCCAATTTGAGCAACCATCATTAAATGAAGCCAACACTGTGAGGATACTACATCACCCATCTTGAATCATGAGAGACTGTTGTACAAGCACTGTCCAATCAGAACATACAACCTCTCCTGGCCACAGGTGGGAATCATTCTCAAAGGCAGTGTTGCATTTAAAAAGTAATTTCCAAAACCCCCAGAAGACATCCCCCAAAGAACAAACTGGCGTTTTTCTATCTGGGAGACATGTTGTTGCAATCAAATTGTTGTGGCGTAAGTAGAGCTTGACTAATAGTATAAGGAGAGGAGGAAATAACCTGGAAGACAATGTGAAAAAGCCCTGATGTCTCTGTGAACGCTCCACTTCAGCTTGTCTAGAGGAAGAAACCACAAGAATGTGTATGAGCAGCTCTCATCACCCTCAACTCTGGCAACGGATTAACCAAGAAAACACCCTCCCCACAAAACAGAGCCACTCAGGGAATATGTGTGAAAATGAAGCCAGATAAAAAGGCAGGTTGTTTTGTGTTTTTAAGCCTGATGGACTCGTGTGTGGACTCGGATTTTATATTGGGATTTAATAGTTAATAGCGCGGTATAGTAAAACAGTGGTGAGCACGGTCACCCTACAGGTTCGAGCCCCGGTGGACCCGGTGCCTTCCGATGCGGAGTCTACATGTTCTCCCTGCGCCTGCGTGGGTTCTCTCCGGGTACTCCGGCTTCACCCCACAGTCCAAAAGACGTGCATCTTAGGTTGACTGGGAAGTGTGTGTGTGTGTGTGTGTGTGTGTGTGTGTTGTTTGTTTGTCTCCCTGTCTAAGTGGGCCCCGCCTCTCGCCCGCTGTCAACTGGGATTGGCTCCAGCCCCCCACGACCCTCGTCGGGATTAGCGGCATAGATAATGGATGAAATGTCAAACATTAATCTAATTAAATCATCTACTCCTCTAAATTTGCCAAATTGATCTGAAAATTATGAGGCGCTAATGATGGTGAGCACACAACCAGTGAAACCACAATTCCCTCAAATTATAAATCAATTTACGTGAAAGTATTTTCGTAAAAAAAACCCTGAAATATAAATGTGTTTTGTTTACACGCTTATAAACTGCAGTTTGAGGTACTTAAAAATTAACTTTATGTTTTCATGCTCCACTTGTTCACTTATTGTACATACAGTCGGTTTTACTAATGAATGACCTGATACATTATCTAATGTACTTATGTCTCTTTATATAGCTCTAGTGTTGACTTACTCACTTTTACGCATGAAACCCTAAATAAAGGATCAAATAAAATTATGGAGCTTTTATAAAAAAAATTTTATATTGCACCGAATTAATTAGTTATTAGGACGTTGCTTTCAGCTTAATTTCTTTCTAAACATCTTAAAGGTAAAATCTTTAACAATATTTAAATGAAAGGAATACTCACTGTAGGAGACTGTGTTTGTTGTCCTTCCACCGTTCTTCGCCCGGTTATTCATAGTGTTGCTATTGCTGCTGTTTCTGACGTTGGACGCCTGCAGCACTGCCTCCTGCGGTGTCCGGGTATTTTCCGTGTAGTCCGGTAAAATCTCCGTGGCATCGTTTTTTAGTACCTTCCATCCCTTCACAGCGGTGCAACATCCCTGGAGCAGCAGGAGCGCCGAGCTGGAGACGAGGAGGGCCAGAGACACCTGCATGCTGCTTGTCGGTCGAAATGAAGCAACGCACACAAGGAGGCTTAAAACTCAGAGAGAGAAGAGATGCCCGTTTGGACAAGTTGGTCACATTCACCCTCGGTGCAAGACGCGCACACGGTATTTAAGCCCACGCAAGTTTTCGTCAGGGATGACAATTAAGCCTTCCACAGAGTGGGAGGGGTTGAACCTGGGCGACAGATTCATTGACAAACTGCGGGGGGAGAGGGCTGGATGTGCGCGCAAAGAGAGGGGCGGAGAGGAGAGCGAAACAGGGGAGGCAAACAGTGAGAGGTGATGAGGGGGAAAGAAGAAGAATGGTGCAAGCATTCTTTACTGAAGTAAAAGTAGCAGTACCACAGTGTAACAATACTCTGTTTAAGTTAAAGTACAGGAGTACTGCCATCAAAATATACTTAAAGTGCAAAAAGTGAAAGTACTCATTGTGCAGAATGGCACATTTTATATTGTTAGATTATAATCACCAACTTATTATTGTGCGCATCAGCTGGTCAAGGTGGAGCTCATGGTAACTACCTTACCTGTTTATAATTTGAAGTACTGCTCGGTATTTAGTGAATTTTCTACTAGGGATCAACAGGCAGACAATTATATTGTACTTTATAATTATTCTGATTCTGAAAAGTAACTAAAGTTATCAAGTAACTGTAGTGAGTAAAATGTATGATACTTGATACTAGTTTTAAAATATAGTGAAGTCAAAGTATGCAGTAGCAGAACATGAAAATACTCAAGTAAAGATACCTCAAATTGTACTTATTGTATTACAGTACTTGAATAGATGTACTTAGTTACTTTCCACCACTGCTCAAAAGCATTTAGGCATTTTTGAGATGGTTTATTTTGGAGATTTTGGTCTGGAGGAGCTTCCACTGCTGCATCGTGCACATCACACTTTTACCCTGCCAGTTTGATACAAGTGGATCATGAATATCTCACATTAATTACCCATTAATTTACTTCTCAATAGGGACATTAAGTTTTAAACATATCAGCAGGGCCTTTTTCCTTTCTTACATTTTTGAGACATCAACACCTTCCTCTTGTATTAAGACACACTACAGCACCACATGTTCTCATTTGAATTGATCTAATGGTTTATAAGGGATTCCAATATTCTATATCTTGTGTCTGGTTTGAGCAAAATACAACTAAATGGGGACTGCACGGACACTGTCCTCCAGGTTCTTGGCATCACTCACATCCCAGTGATTTGATGAGTGCTGACAGATGGAGGCTCCTTCATTCAAACACTGCCCTCTTGAGGGGGAAGGAACAAGTCTTGTGAAGGGAAATGATAGGGGAGCTCTTCAGCATCCGAGTGGTCTTTTCTGATGTCCGGTTCCTATGGTGGGCACAGGCGAGCTGCCTGAAGAAGAAGAAAAGCCCGGAAGATTAAAAATAGAGGCAGAGATGTGAGGGGGGATGTTTGGGTCAGTATCACTGCTCTGACGTGCGCTGTACCCACTCATTTGAGTTGCAGAGATACTTCCATAATCATGCATGTCCTACTTTTATACAAGCCCTAAATTAGGGTTTGTAGCTGTGGTCGTACATCTCATTTCAACATCGTGGACATAATTTGGGGATAAAGGGAACCTTAAATAACATCATCCAGTCAACAACATTATTGTTTTGGCTATTCGTAACACGGACCAGCGACATCATATGAAAGTGTGTGAAAGTCTGGTTCAGTCCAACTCTCTCAGACTCTGTCTGAGCGTCAAGTCCAGTTATTCTTGTGAAGTCCTACTGCAATAATAATTAGCGTTTCTGGAATATACACCTTTCATCCTGCTTAATAATGAAATAAGTGCAGCTTTAAGCATTTTAGGTTTTACTAATTAACAGCCAACAAAGCTTTGATGTCATATGTGTGTCTAAGAAATTCTTCTAATTTTCCATACTGAGTCGATCCTGTTCTTGTCTACTGGTTATTTGATTCCCATTTCATAAGCCAAGATGTTTTGAAGTAAACTTAACAGACATCTGTGCCCTCCTACTGTGTACCACCCCACAGTGAGCGATGGATGGTCCAACTGTCTGCACAAAGCCAGATCTGATTACAGCCTTCTTGCCGACTTCGTGAGGGATGTCAGTCAGTCTCAATTTAGACCTCTCTGGGTTTCTTTATGGAGCCCTTGGGCCCCAACACAGTTTTTTTAATCGTGATAAGAGTACAGTGAGGCCCAAATAACAATCAGATGCTTACCAGACTGCATGAAAGCCTCCAGCAGTGCAGATGATGGCTTAATGGACATGGAGAAAAGCAGTTTTCAGTCCATAAACAACTCATTCCAGCTCTTCCTGACCAGTAATTTGTGGCATGATCCATTCTACCAATTTGTCAACTGCTTGTTCACACAGGTTAAAAACTAATTTCCCTTTTTCCAACACAGTTATAACCCAGTGAAAGTAAATGAGGAGTTGCTGTTACAGCCGCGTGTGACTGAAACTCTACATTCTTAACTTAAACTCCTAGTCTGAGGGGGTGAATTATTCATTATGTGTCCACTGCAATTATGCAAAGTACGTTCAAGTTCAGCTCTCCGGCTTTCCACATCAACCCATAGAAAGACATTACAGTCGAAGCTTTATGACTGAGTCGGTGTGCAAATGACAACACACTGCACCAAGTGACCTGTGACCCTGCCACATATTAAAAAGTCAAATTACCATGCTCACACTGTGACATGTGACAATGACTACCTTATATTATGTATCCACTTAAATGAAAAATAAACTATTTTCTCTTAACATTGGGGCTGAGATGGGATCAGTAATGTCACCACAGCTCCTCATAACAAAAACTATCAAAGTTAGCATTAAACCATTCTAGCCTTTTTAAACTACGTTCTAGTGTGGCCAGTTTTTGTGTTTAGACTTTTGCCGACTATGGCTTCTTTTGTTAAATAAGAAAAGGTTGTAGCTTACCTGGTTAAAGTAGAGTAGGTACTTTATTGATCCCACAATGGGGAAATTTCTGTGTTACATCAACAATAGAGAACAACCAACATAACACCATAAGAACAGACACATGGTGTTATGTTGGTTGTTCCCTATTTCTGCTGTAACACAGAAATTTCCCCACTGTGGGATCAATAAAGTACCTACTCTACTTTAACCAGGTAAGCTACAACCTTTTCGGTCTGACTCTCAAACTGATGGTTGACAGATGATTTTTACCGATGCCAACGTCACATTACTGCGGCTCTTTGACCTGTGAACACACCATAAGCGCTAAGAGGGAAACAAACCAAAACATTTGTGTCTGTTGGCTACAGACAATTTCTTACAGTAACTTCAATATATTAAAGAGAATATTTGATAGTCGCCTTGCATGTACTCTCAGTTTCAGCATTAAATTCTGTGTTGTGTAAACACATTTAACAACACTAAATGTTTGTAGCAAGGTCAATATTATCACAGAATGTTACCGAGCCCCTTGTTAGTCTGCTCCACATGTTAGCCAGTTTACACAGTAACAACAACAACAACAACAAAAGCATTATAAAGTTGGTACACAAAGTACATATCACTTACAAACCTTGTGCCTATTTAATCCGGATGCTGAAGAGATAATAAATGTGATGTTTTCAATTCTGGTGACTTGTCTTTTTACTTTCACTGTTTCCTATTTTTTCTTCCTACTTCCAGGATTGCTCCTTCAAAATAAACCGCAGCCTTTTAACACAGCCAAAGGAACAAACAATAATGTGGCCTTATGAAAACATGCGTAGAAATAAACATAAAAATGATTGTTTAAGTATTTTAGACCATACAAGACATCCTTTACAAAAACCATGTTTATTCATCAAAGTTATCATTTTGGTATCAATACTGAAACTCACTGGTACTAGTGCTGAAAAATGTCACTTTTGTCACAGAAGGCAAATATGGCAAGTTTAAACTTTCTTCATAAAATACCATACCATACCAACTTTATTTATAAAGCACTAAAAACAACCAGAGTGGACCAAAGTGCTGTACATTGCAATAAAACAGTATAAATTATAAACCACAAACAACAATATTAAAATATAATCAATATAATAAATGACTAAAATCAACACACAAATATCAAAATGCCAGGGAAAATAAATGAGTTTTTAAAAGAGACTTAAAAACAGACAGGGTAGAGGCTTGTCTAATGGACAGCGGTAAATCATTCCAGAGTTTAGGACCAGCAACTGCGAAGGCTCACAAAATACAAAAGGAGATATTTCATAACTCACATAAGGACTCATTACAATATCACACAGGAGAGTGTAGCACCGTCTGCTGACATGGACAAACTGTAAACAGTGTTCCTGCCCTCTGAACAACACAGCAAAACAGGTTGTTAAATACAGGCATATTTTGAAAATGTGCTGTGCGTGCACTTCAGATGTGGATCCATGATAAATATCCTGATGTTTCAAAGTGGTTTTAAAAAATTCTGACTTTTATTGCACTTGAAAAACTGTTGTATACTGTATGTCTAAGAACAAATTGGACTACTTTCTCTTAATTAGGCTTCAAAAGTACATGACCACATCACTTGTGATGGAACAAATGCGAATTAAACAGCACAGATTATGTTATGAAGCAGGCCTTTGTGGAAAATCTGTGCAAAATAAAGACTCTTATCAGTGTGTCTAAGTGTTTGTGCATGTAAAATGTAGACCGCATCATGTATCTGCATTTTAATTAGCTGCACATCTGGATATATTTAGATTAATTTTTAAGTTAGACGCCGTTGTTCCTGAAGCAAAAACACTGTCATGACTCAAATTTTACAAATAATATGTTTAGTCTCCTAACCATGCACTCGTCTCAACATTTTCATTTTGAATGCACTAGAAGCTAAAGTGAAAACCAATGTGTTGCTGGACTGAAATGATCCAAAACAAATGTGCTCTTGTGCTTACATTTCATTGTGCTCAGGATTCATGCATGTGTAAAAAACCTAAAAACCCACAATGACTACAACGAGTGCTGTAATGTTGATCAACTGCTGTGTATTGACCCTGGACATATTTGAAAGTGTTTCACTGGTGGCACAGCGGTGGTTCTGCTCTGTGTCACTTTGTATATCCCACTGTACAGAATACCAGAGCTACACTTTGCAACAGCTCAGACCGGTCATGTGTGAACTGCTCATATGCACACAGTTGTTTTCAAACCACATCTGTGCAGTGTCATCTAGCAGAAATTA